AATCTCATAAACAGGTAACAGAATGCATCACAGAACTAACATAAATGATTTATATAAAAATATCCGCCGAAGGTAATAAGGTCTCGCCGCCTCAACTTGCGAAACATGGCCTCTCACATTACGATAACATATAAAATATCAAGTGTAAACTTCAAATAAACGCCCAGCGTTCCACAGTCAATTTAAAGTGTGGTGATGAGCTTGAATGACACGAGGGTAGACCGTTTAGATATTATTCTTCTGGAAAGCACTGTGGCGCGTTGAAAACTCCAATGTAGGAGTATGTGGTGTGCATGCTGAGCCCACATTTTAGTGCGGCAGATAACAGGTACCTGACGTAATTTTATTCAAGGCCCAATATTTTTCGCAAAACGCAGTGATGACAATGTGCCCAATCACGGCATTAGATTTCGCAACAAAATCAAACAAAGCCCTTTGCGCGAGTGAGGGCAGGCAAGCCTAGCGTACCTGTTTGAAATCTGAAAGATGGCATACATAAAAAGAAGAAATTTTGGTTTACATATGGGGCACAAACAGAGCTGCAAATTGCAAGAGGCAAACGCGCACACAACCGCCAAACACAAGCAGAACAGCAATAGAAATACCTCGTAAATGCGCAGACAGCTCAAGATACTATACTCCAACCAAATCCCGCTTGATCGTAACTATCACATATTATTGGAGCGTGGCACGGGTAAAATTATAAAACACTGGATGTTCAATGATCTTTTTATTCATGACCCGAGGGGGTCCGGTCATAGAAAGTAAGAGTAAATATCTACATACATTTTGGAAACGGTAAACAGGATCTACGCAAAACGCAATATCTGCGCAGCGGATTTACAGCTGAAAATAAGTTAGTTGAAAATGGTTACCAGTTTACCTGCCCCGCATTCCCTCCCCCAAATCCTACTCCTTTTTATACAAGTCAGAATTTTTTGATGCCACAAAATTTCTTGCAGAACCGGATGGTTACATCCGGACCATTTGCTCCGGGGGCAGACCAGCACTGGACGATGTAGCCCACCTCCCTCAGAAACTAACAGTCTTTCCCTTCAAACTTTTTGTTTTCAATGTCAGATCCTTGCTTAATAAGATGCCTTTACTTCAGACTCTGGTGTTCGTCCATTGTGCGGATATTGTTTTAGTAACTGAGACATGGGCACCAGCCTCAGTAGCTGACTCCGAACTCTCTCTTCTAGGCTAAAATAGCATTCAAAATGATCGCCAAGATAGCCGTGGTGGGGGCAGCTGCGTCTACGTGAAGCAAACGCTTACATTTTGGCCGCTTGACCTCCCGCATTTTTACGCAGTAGAAGGCAGCTGCTGGCTCCAGGTTGCTCTAAAAAATAAGTTCTCCTTACTCGTTGGCTGTGTTTATCGCCTTTCCAACGCCAACGACAATTTCCATCGTTTACACTCACAGGCATTTCATGCTGCGGCCGACTCAAGCTTTAAATATCAATTGGTTGCGGGTGACTTTAATCTCCCTGAAGTCCGCTGGTCTCCGCCTTCAGGCCCCAGAAGGTTCGATGACTTTCTTGAGGCTGTGGATGTTGGGATGTGGACTCAGGTTGTCGATTTTCCCACCCGAGGCTCAAGCATACTTGACTTAATTTTCTGTAGAGGCTGCTTGCCATCGTCAGTGTCATCCCTAGGCCCACTCGGGGGCTCAGACCATGACATAGTTGTTTCAACGTTGGAATTCGAGGCTGACAAAACGTTGTCCCCAAAGTATAACTTTTTCTGCGATTTCCGATCAACTCGCTCAACCGAATTATTAACACACCTTAATTCCTACGACTGGACTGATTTCTTCCTTAGTTCGAATGTTAATGTTTGCACTGCAAATCAGTACGAAATTTTGGATCCGCTTATTTCTCGTTTTGTCCCCCGTAAGAAAATGAATAATGTTGGGATGAGGTATTCCTACCCTTACCCTTTCGTCGCAGGTTACGCAGACTTTATCGTCGATTCCATCTTCAGAACGACGTTTCTGTCCTGCCCCTGATTTGTGATATTTTTGAGCGGGCTAACATATTGTCTGAAGAGAAACAGCTAGCCGAAGAGGTCCACTTTACCGAAAACCATTCGTTAAATATCTCGAAACTTTTCTCTAGAAAAATACGAACTCACCGAAAGACGCAGCATCCCATCCTCCGAGACGCTCTCGGAAATCCCAAAGTTGATGCCCAGCTAACCGCTGATATCTTCAACGATTTCCTGTCCAAAACTTTCATTGGAGACTCGACCACTCCGCTCCCGACTATCCAGTCATTGACTGGGGTAGTTCTAGAAACTATAACTTTCACTCTGTGGGATGTGACTGTTGTGATTCGGCGTTTTCTTCAATCTTATAACCCAGGACCTGATGGTGTCCCAGTAAGCATTTTAAAAGCCGATGTAAATACGATTTCCTCATCCCTCTTTTGCAAGATATTTAATCTTACTCTTGAAAGTGAAACTTATCCTACCTTGTGGAAGGAATCACACATTTTGCCCATTCCTAAGCACACCAACTCTACATCATTTGATGACTTTCGGCCAATAAACACCCTCCCCGCAGTTTCGAAGATCTTAGAGACATTGATCAAAGATAAGGTGATGTGTCACTTAACAGAGACTAACCTACTGAGTGTTGCTCAGCATAGATTTCTCAAAGATCGATCTTATGACACCTGTCAACTCTCTTTCTTTGACTATGCTCTACCATCTAGGGACAATGGTTTTGCACTTTACACAGTATATTTCGATTTCACTAAGGTTTTCGATCGTGTTGACCATGCTCTTCTTCTCTTGAAACTGTCCTCTTTCGGAATAGGTGGCAAACTTTTGTATTCTATATCCTCTTATCTGGGCACTCGTACACAACGAGTTAAGATTTCCAATACTATCTCCAACCCCACACGTGTGAGGAGTGGAGTCATTCCGGGTAGTGTACTCGGTCCGCTTTTATTTTGCCTTTTCCTTAATGATGTACCCGATTTATTTCAGAATGGTAAGCCTTTCATGTATGCCGATGATCTTAAAGTTGCATATCGATATAGGCCGGCAGATCATGACATCGTGCTCGAGCTCCTTAAGAGCGATGTACAGGCTTTCGCCCAGTGGTGCCGCACAGTGCGCTTTTCTCTTTCTTGGCATAAGTGCTCAGTCATGGTGGTTGGCGACGACCGCCAACCTCAAATAAGTATTGAAGGTCACGCCATAAATGTGCCTGGGGTTATTAAGGATCTGGACGTATCATACTCCAAGAGCCTTAATCTCTCGGAGCACTGTGCCTTGATAGTCTCCAAAGCACGTAGAACGACCGGGTTTATCCTCCGAAACTTTAAAACTAGCGACATTAGAAGGTGCCTTTTCAACATGTACGTTAGACCTGGTCTGGAATACGGTTCGTTTTTATTTAGTCTCATGTGGCCTACTGATCGCAACGTAGAATCAGGTCTCTATTCTCACGTAAGCCAACTGCTTTTCAGTCTAATTCTCCCTAAGTCGGTCATAATACAAGTGGCCGTGAAGATTTAGCTTGTCCTACTCCTGCGGCATCTCACTCTCTCCTCCCTCTTACTCCTTCATCTACATCTCACTCAAGCCACTTGACGCATTAGCCTGCCCCTAAACTTTCAGCAGCAGCAGCAGCATCAGTCCTTTCGTATCGTCCGGATATCCCCGCTGAGACACATGAAAATCCGTCTACATCAGCTACACCGATAACTTCTTTTGTCCAACTAGGTGCTGCAAGCTCTACAGTTAAGTCACCCGTGGCTTGGCATCAGAACGGTGAGACTCGAAAACTGAATCAGACTCCGACCCGAAAGATAGGTAGTACAGTTTCATTTAGGGGTACGACGGCTTCCCTTAGATCTAACAAGTCTCTTCAGCCTAGCACGTCTACAAACACCGCAACTCTAATTATATCCCCGAATAATTCAAGGTCAGGGTCGAGCCGCTGGTTTTAAATTTGAAGATAAGTGGAGGATATTATTTTAAGTGGTCTTCCTGTGAGACCTAACGATTTTAGTCCCTGTTTTTTGTTTGAATTTCCTTAAATACAGGCCTCTTCTCTCAGAACTGCCTGCTGCCATCTCCTTTTGAGTTCTGCTAGTATTTTTTTACCCCTCGTTTTTCATTTTGCTTAACGGACTTCTAATCTCAAAAACTATGTATTGCACTTTGTACAGATTTTGCCTACCTCGTCTAAAATTCGCATGTAAATTTATTTTTACTTGCTTTGATGGGACCCCGACGGGTCTTTAATAAAAATAAAAATAATAAAATTACTTATATGTTCGTTTTTCACTAGTCGCACTCTGCAATTCTCATTTTGTGCATCCGATTTCTCTCTAACTGTTGTAATTTATTTTTACATCGTTCGCCCCTACCTGAAATTCAGTTTCGAATTCGGTTTCGAATTTTCGACCTCCGAGGGATTTGCCTTTTCTGGGATTTCTGCCTACTGGACGCATCGCGGGCCCATTTGGATTAGGAAATTGAAGCTTAATCAGCAATTCCTTTAACGATCCACACGGAACTCCGACAGAACTTCCTTTGGAACGACCATACTCCTTCGTATCAATTCTCTGCCAACAGCACCCCAGGACTCTCCTGATCCAAGAGCGGCTGAGTCGTTTGCTATTTGCTTCATATTGTTGGCTTGGTTAAAAAGCTTCTCATACACCTTTAAATACTTCGTGCCGTACCTAGAATACCTTGCATATCCTTCGAATTAATAATGGGAGTCGGCAAAACACCATCAGGACAATGTGCAAAAACTCGCCCTAAGTGGGACGCGAACCCAGGTCCCGTCGTGGGGTGAGTAGCGTGATCGCCACTACACTATCGGCGCACGGCGAACGGACTGAAATAAATAAAGGAGTAAACATTATTCGTAGTACAAATGACTGCAACTCTTTATATATCGCTGTTAAGTCACCTCCCGCTAAACGAGCAAGGAGCCTAGTAAGCTGTATGGATATCAAATACGAAGACGAAGCCTGTACGACATGTTTCGGACTTCTTCGAAAATTTGCGGAAATGGAGAGGGAGATAAAGGGCCTTAAAGTGAAGATGGAGCAGCTGAGGAATCTCCCTCGCTATTCATCCAAAGAGAATGAAAGCGAGCGAACATACGCAAACACGGCTTCCTCGGCTGTGTCGACGGAGGAGAAAGAAAATAGTAGGTCGCTAGAGCTTGATAGGAATGACACCCAGTGTCTTGTGCGAAAAAAGCGCGGTCAGACGCGATCTCAGCGAGCAAAAAGTAATCTCAGGGTACCTCGAAAAGGCACAGAGAGTCAGACGAGGAAACAAGAGTTGGCTACGCCGCACACGAAAATCGCGCCGCTGAAAACGAAAAATGATCAAAAGATCGTAGTAAACAGGCAGTCATGCGTTAGTCCTGCTGAATCAAACCTTCCTAAATCGGTGGAAGGTTGTAACCGGGATGCACGCGATGAAGACTCTGTAGGTATGATTATACCACAAGGCCGTCTAGTTGATCGCAGTAAATGCATCGTTATAAAGGGCATGCCTGAGTCTGTTTCCGACGCTTCAAAGGACAGAATACAAGATGACATAGAAATATTCCAGGAATATCTCAAATCGATCTTAATAAGAGACGAAAAAGTCGCAGTATTAAAGGCTTTCACGATGGGCAAAATTAAAGACTCAAAACAAGATCCAGACCGACCGAGACCGTTAAACATTGTCTTTGAGAATGACAAACAAGCGCAGCTACTTTTGAGCAGGAAAGCTGCGCTTAAACACGCCCATCCATCAGTTTTTTTTCAGCGGGACTTTTCACCCGCGGAGCGAGAAAAATGGAGGGGGCTCAAATTGGAAGTCCTCAGGCGGTCGAGTCTGGGCGAGACAAATCTCCGAATAGTGGACGGAAAAATTATACGCGTCCAGAGGCCATTCCTCTGGAGAAAGCCCATAACTCTAACAGCTTAGGAGTGATGGAAAGCAGTTCATCCCGATCAGCTCCGACCGGCTTTTGCATTCAATCCCAAGAAATGGATAAACGCCTGTATGCCGGAGTTGCTCGTGCCAAATTAAGCTTTTGTATACCAATGCTCAAAGTCTCGTTTCGAAAATCGACGAACTCAAAGCGATAGTACCGGAACGAATCCCCGACGTCATCGCCATAACGGAAACTTGGCTTAATGCTGAAATCATGGATGCTGAGATTTCGATACCGGGTTACCATCTGTTTCGTAGAGACCGTCAAAATAGGCAGGGCAGAGGGGTAGTCATATATGTAAGGGAAGGAATTTCAGCAGTTGAAAGAGCCCACACCCTATCCCTTGAATATGAATCCGTCTGGATAAAGATAAAGAAGAGCAATGCACAAAATCTAGAATTTCTGGCGATTTACAGACCACCAAATCTTCTGAGTGCAGCTGATGAGTCGCTCCTTGGTTTAGTCAAAGACGTAGCTAGCCACCAAGAGGTACTTATTGCTGGGGATTTCAACGCACCTGCAATAGAGTGGGAAACTATGGCAGTTAATGGTGGACCAGCCTCTTTCAGCAATAAGCTACTGGACCTCACACTCGATCTCCCTCTGGCGCAACATGTGAAGGTACCAACAAGATTTCGAGAGAACCAGAGAGCAAATTGTCTAGACCTAGTTTTCACTAAGGACTTCTCTAATATCGACGAAGTGTATTCCAATGCACCTCTCGGGAAAAGTGACCATACCACGCTATTATGGGATTACTCGCTCTTCTCTAAACGCCAGAAGAGAACAGAGGGCCAACCTAATATATGGAAGGCAGATTTTAATATAATGAAGAACGAATTGCTGTCCGTGAATTGGGACCAAATACTCAGGAGAGATCCGGAGGACGACTGGAGATCTATTAAAACGATTTCACTCGATCTGATTAGGCGCTGTTGTCCACCTAAAGTACAAAAAAACAACTAGTCGACCTGCTTGGTTAACTAGGGACCTAAATAGGCAGCTACGGAAGAAAAGCAAAAGATGGAAAATATTCAGGGAAACTGCGTCACCAGCGCATTTCGAAGAATTTCGTCGTCAACGAAACGCCGTCAAAAAATGTATCCGTCAGGCACGGAAGGAGTATGAATCCAAAATTATGCGACAGGCTGAACAGAAGCCTAAGATTTTATTTCACTATCTTAACAGTAGACTGAAAAATAAGGACCCGGTCGCGGTGCTGAAGGATGATAATGGTGTAGAGATCATTGAGAACAACGAGAAAGCCGAAAACTTAGGACAGTATTTTGCCTCCGTTTTTACTAGAGAAACAGAGTTTCGCTGTCGCAGTGCCGGCAATGCTCTTGAGACTGTTGGTCCCGTGCTTGACTCCATACTCTTCCCGGCAGCTGCCGTGGAAAGGGAGCTGAAAAATCTCAAGGAAGCAAAGTCCTCGGGTCCGGACAATATACCGGCCAAATTCTTGAAGGAACTGGCGAATGAACTTCCCAAACCACTGGCGCACATCTTCCGCTCGTCATTCGAATTAGGGAGGTTGCCATCGGAATGGAAGACAGCAAATATCTTTCCGATATACAAGGGCGGGGCTCGCACTAATGCTAACAATTACCGGCCTGTTAGTGTAACCTGCATCTGCTGTAAAATAATGGAGGCCATAGTTAAGAAAGCAACTATGGCGTTCCTGGAGCAGGGCCATTTAATCTCAGACCTGCAGCACGGCTTCAGACGGAACCGCTCGTGTCTTTCCAGTTTATTGCTCTCGACGGAGCAGTGGACTCGCGCACTGGATGAGGATGGGAGGGTTGATGTCATATACACAGACTTTAAGAAGGCGTTCGACAGCGTCCCACACAAACGCCTAATCTACAAACTTTCTGAAATTGGGATGAGAGGAACGCTGCTGACATGGATAACAGACTTTCTCACCGGGAGATCGCAAACCGTGTGCATTGAGGCCTCAAGGTCAACTTCTACTCCCGTTCTAAGTGGTGTACCCCAGGGCTCCGTCTTAGGGCCGTTGCTATTCCTGGTTTACATTAACGACTGCGTCGACGACCTGGGATGCAGCGCCATCATGTTTGCTGACGATGTTAAGCTGTGGAGGCCCATCAGATCTGATGCAGACAGGTACGCGCTTCAAGACAGTCTCAACCGCCTAAACAGTTGGTCAGCTCGCTGGCTCCTCAATTTTAATGTGGACAAATGTGTAGTCCTGAGACAGACCAGTAAGGAGGACGATTCCTTTCAATATGTCCTTGGTGGTCAGTCCCTTTCAAATGTTGTGGAACAGAAGGACCTGGGAGTCCTAATGACCTCCTCGCTGAAACCATCTTCACAGTGTCAAAGGGCAGCCAAAAGTGCGATAAGGGTGTTTTTTGCGCTGAGGCGAGGATTTGTGCAGATCGACAAGAAGCTGTTCGGAAAAACCTATGGGGCATTCGTCCGGTCTCACTTAGAGTATGCAGTCCAGGCCTGGCGACCGTGGTTAAAGAAAGATTATCAAAGACTGGAAAGAGTACAGGCGATGGCTACGAAGATGGTCAAGAATCTTCATCACTTGCCTTACGAAACCAGGCTGACTGAACTAAATCTGTTTCCTCTAAATTACAGGCAACTGCGCGGCGATGTCATTCAAACCTACAGGATTGTCAGAAGCCGAGAGTGTGCCCTAGATTTTGGGGAATTCTTTGAATTGGCCCGGACTGACCGTCTGCGTGGTCATCCGTTCAAACTGCAAAGGAAGCGGGCTAATTCGGACGTCCGACGGAACGCCTTCTCACACAGGGTCATCGGGGCATGGAATGGACTCCCTGATGCCGTCGTTCTTTCCGAAAGTGTTAAATCCTTTAAGTGCAGACTAGACGCTCACTTGTTGAGAACCTACTGTACATACAATCATGATTGTTTTAGCGGCGGCAGTTTGCGCCTGGCTCACACTTAACGCTAACTTCTTAACTTTTCGCATTTGCTGATGTAATTGATGACTTTATTTCTGTTTATCGACATGAATAGGGTGCTATAAGAATATGTCTTACAATAATCAGTATTACAACCTCGACCAAGTAATTCTTCCTAATCGAAAACGCATTTCAGAATTTCAGCCAACATTTCATGAGATCGGTCACTCACTGCATATATCCAACAAATTATTCATACATGAATTGCCCTAAGTCATTTATGCCACAACCTAGTTCAGGCTTCCCAACACTTAAGGCCAATTGCTCTCAGGTACGTCTACCTACCTCCTTTGACTTCCAACCTTGACCTGGTTTCCCACCCCTTTATTCTTATAGCTGCCCACCCTCACCCATTAGCTCCTACTTTCCTTCTAGGCTCTCTCCTCCCCTTCCTCCACAATTTAACTATCAACAAGTCTATCCATCTTCTAACTCCCCTAGCATTCCAATGTTTGAAAACTATATCCCCACATCCTTTAGGTCTCATACTCAGCCTCCTCTTGTTGACTCCCCGTACGTCAATAACCCTAGACCAACTGGTACTTATTCTCCAAGTGTCATTAATTCACAGCTTACATATTCACCTCCAAATTTTTTTAAATACCGTCGAAAATAGCATTGTCGTTCGAAGCACATTAGATATTATATTATTGAATGTCAGGTCTGTTATAAACAAGATGGCCCAAATCAGAACCATTGCTCTCGAAATGACACCTGATATTATATGTGTAACAGAACCTTGAACCCATTCTCTAATTCCTGACTCTGCCCTTCTCATAGATGACTTCGATTTTTACCGCCAAGACCGCACGACTAGGCGTGAGGGTGGTTGTCTTCTTTATCTTAAATCCTACCTAAAGCACTCTCTATATTACTTGGATGTTTCCTCATTCACGGGAAACTTCTGCTTTGCATCTGTTATTCTCTCGCCGCAAAGAAAGGAAATTATTGGCTGTATCTACAATCCCCCAAATTCTTTAGCCAGTGATGATTCACAACTCTGTGAAATCTTTAAATTAATTTCGGAAGCTGCTTTCGATGTTAAAATAATCACTGGGGATTTTAACCTTCCTGAAATTGACTGGGTTTCCAATAGCTGCCCACCCAGATTCCAGCCCTTTCAAGATACTGTCAATTTTTCTAATTGGTCCCAACTGGTGCGCTCTCCAACAAGAGATAATCATATTTTAGATTTAATCTTTACCAATGACATTGCTCATCTTTCTGTTGCTTTAAAAAAGGACCTCTTTTACAGTGACCACGTATTAATTCATTGTTGCTCTCCGCTTGCCTTTTCAAAAAAGACAAGCGCCGTTCGGACTTACATGAACTACGACTGCGTAGATTACGACTTAATAAATAACTATATAAATGGGAGCCTGAGGACATATCACCTGAAAGATATAAGGCTCCCCGCTGAATCTTCACAGAAGGATCTCGGGGTTTGGATACAGAACAACATGAAACCAACACTCCAGTGCCACAAGGCTGCAAAAAACGCCATGGGAGTGCTGCATGCAATAAAAAGGGCTTTCGTTAACTTTGACCAAGACCTTTTTGGGAGAGTTTACGGCACATTTGTTCGGCCCCACTTAGAATATGGCATACAAGCATGGCGGCCGTGGCTAGTAAAGGACCAAGCATGCCTCGAACGAGTACAACGGCGTGCAACAAAGCTGGTAAACGGTCTAAAAAGCCAATTCTACACAGACAGACTGAATTGCCTTAATTTATTCCCTCTGTGTTACAGGCAGCAAAGAGGTGATCTTATCCTCGTCTACAAGATGGACTTAAATTTGAGGACATGTTTCAGTGGCACATTTCACCCAATCTTCGTGGTCACTCGATGAAGTTACGGACAACAAGGTCCAGGCTTAATCTTCGTTCTGAATTTTTCACGCAGAGGGTAGTGGAGAAATGGCACGATCTCCCTCAGTCAGTCGTGGAGGCTACGTCCCTGCAGTTCTTCAAGAAACGCTTGGATGATTATTTGTGTCCCCTGTTTTCCCTCGACAGTCTGAATCTGAATTAATACCCCTGGTCCAGACAAATATTTTCTCTGAGACAATGCTAATCAAGTGAACCAAGTACTATGTATGTATGTATGTATGTATGTATATTGAAGGGTTACAGGCAGAGCCCTTGATGACCCTATTTATGTACAGTGCTTTCGCAGATTCATACTCAAAAATAAAATTAAATTGCAGGCATTTAAAATGCGATTGGGTCACAGTTCAATCATAATCATAAGGTAGTGCATGGGGTCTCTGTAAATTAGTGCGGAAGATTGTATATGACAGATTTTACAAAACTGGCTGTGCATAGTCATGCTGCACAAGCAGATTTCTGTCGAAAACTAGACGAGCAAGTTTTCTTTTAAACACACAAACTGTGTCAGCCGTCACCATCTCGCTTGGAAGCGAGTTCCACGGCCTGACAACCCGCTGGCTGAATGAAAATTTTCGTCGGTCGAAACGCGTGCGCTCATTCCCGACTTTGTATGCGTGGCCGCGTAGTTGGTTTGTACGGGCGAACTCAAAGAAGTCCTCTGCTCTTAATGAGCAACCCTGGCCGCGAACAATCCGGAACGTCCAGAGTAGACTGCAGTTTATTTGTCTATAAGAGAGAGGGAATAGGCCAAGCAAATTCAGCCTCTCCTGATAAGATAAATGCTTTAGACCGTCGACCATCATTGTCGCTCTGCGTTGCACATGTTCGAGTAAGTTGATATCCTTCCTCATCCATGGTGAGGCTGCTGGCGTTCCATACTCTAGATGAGGTCTCACAAAGACACCAAAGAGTCTTTCGAAGAGTTCGGGAGGAAATATTTTAAATGCACGTCTGATAAAGTGTAGAGTACTAGTTGCCTTCTGGACCATCTTTCTGCAGTGTTCTGATGGCGATAGATTTGTGGTCGTCCATACACCCAGATCTCTGTGTCTTTCGACAGTTTCTAACCTCGTCCCGTCAATATAGTACTGGTGTTTGGGAGAGGCATTGCGGCCGGTGTTCAGGTGTAAGACCACGCATTTGGACACGTCAAACTTAAAAAACCATCTATTCAACCAAGCAAACAGTTCGTCGATGTTCGACTGCAACTTCTTTGCGTCATCATCACACTTGACTTCACTCCATATTTTTATGTCATCCGCGAACATGAGAGCCTCGCAGTTCACTTCGCTGATGCAGTCATTAGCATAAATCAGGAAGAGTACTTGGCCTAAGACAGAACCCTGTGAGACACCACTTTCCACCTTTACCCATTCCGAGGTAGAATTACTAACGACGACTCTTTGTAGTCTGGAGGACAGAAAACTCCTGATCCACTTAAACATTCTTCCTTGAATCGCAACATCCCAAATCTTATGTAAAAGAAGCCTGTGTGGGACACTGTCAAAGGCCTTCTTGAAGTCAAAAAATATGCCATCCACTGGAAAACCCTTATCAGTAGCTCGTGTCCATTTCTCGTGCGAGTAAAGAACACTCGTTAGGCAGGAGCGCCCTGGACGAAAGCCGTGTTGGGCATCGCACAATATTTTGTTCTGTTCCAGGTATTTCATCAAGTGTCTTTTGATAATGCGTTCCATTATTTTACACGCGATGCAAGTAATACTGACAGGACGATAATTTCCGCAGTTAAGTCTTGAGCCTCCTTTATGGATCGGAGTAATGAGTGCACACTTCCATTCTTCCGGTAGCTCGCCGTCCTAAAATGACTTTTGAAATATAGCGGATAAGGGTTTACACAGTTCATTAGCAAGTTCGCGAAGTGCTAGGGCGGGAATTCTATCTGGGCCAGGCGATTTGGCAGGTTTCAGCAGGAGTAGCTCGGCCCTAACTACGGTAGATGAAAAGAGTGGTTCCTCGGTTAAGGAGGGTAGGGAGGGGATAGGATGGGGAAGGGTACTGGGAGGAGATGTTGTTTGGCGAATGGATGGATGGGCAAATATAGCACTAGGTTCTCGGGTGAAGACGGACTGAAAGAAGTCGGAAAGGAGGGACGCTTTAACCTCGTCATCAATCTCCACTTTTCCATCTGCAGACCTGAGGGCAGGGATGAGCTCCTGAGTCCTTTTAGTACTTCGTATATAACCATATAGAATTTTCGGATGCACCAACGAATTTCGGAGTATTTTCAGTTCAAACTTCTTTCGCAGCTTTGAGGCCTCACTTTTACAGACGTTTCGTTGCCGCTTATATTCCTGTAAGTGTTCGTCGGAGCCAGTTTGTCTGTAACGCCTCCACAGGCGATTCCTTTTTCTGAAAGAGGCCTTCAAGTCCGGGTTTATCCATTTTGGGCGGTTTGTGATTGTCTTCCTTCTAAGAGGACAATTGGAATAAACAATCTCTTTCAGTAAGGAACTGAAAGTATTCCAGTTATCGTTTGCTCGACCATGCAGTTCAGTCTCCCATGATATAACTGCCGCTTCCCTTCTCATGAGAGAATAGTCACCTTTCCAAATGTTTCTCTCCCACCTCTCGGGTTGGGCGGGTTTGTAAAACAGTAAGTACTCGAAGTAGAGCGTGATGTGGTCGCTTGACCCTAATGGCTGTCGGTCCTGCAGGTCTAACACGTTTCCCTCCTCTCGGGTAAAAATAAGATCAAGGCAGTTCGACTGCTGCCCTTCCCTGACCCGTGTTCCAAAGGTAACATTCTGGCAGAGAAGTTTGTCCGTTGCCCATTGTAGTAGTTTGTGATTAAAGCTGTCTTGCGGCCCTTGTGCAGTCCACGTTAGCCAATCAATGCAAGGAGCGTTAAAATCCCCAACGATAAGGACGTCTTTCTTCTCGCTAGCTTGGTACAGTTCGGATATGAGCATGAGATCTTGGTCAGGAGTATGGTTAGGTGAACGGTACACTACCGAAAGCGTCAGTGATCGGACATTCTTAGTAGATATGGTAACGCTTAGCAGTTCCACATCCCGTACCGGTCTGTGTACATCAGCCATAGCGCTTAGCTTGCAAGTGACATAAATTATGACTC